CATACCTGCTCTCCAAAGCTGATACGACTGCTTCATAATCCTTCTGCTTATTCACTGGGATATTTCGCAGAATTTTGGTGGCCTTTCCACTCAGTGCCAGTATGGGAGCTGTTGCTTTTTCCTCATTTTCCATCCGTTATTTTCCGCAGCAGCCTCAAATTATCTGCGATGAATTGACCATTAAGATTCACCATCGAAGGTCAGAGTTGTAATGAAACTACTGCTAGTAGGAAGAGATATCGTTTCCGATTTGAACTTTTTCCACAGCAACCCTCTTTGGCTCCTTTAATTCTTTCCGAAGTTCCTGAAAAACCTCTTTCAACTGTTTGTCGACTCCTTCAAACCATTTGTCGACTCCTTCACGCTTCCTTCCAAATTTCCTTCCGACTCCCGCAAGTTTCTCATCGACTATTTTTTCCAATTCCTCCTGTATTTCCTGAAATGCACTTCCAAATTCTTCCTGAATAAATGAAGGTACATCTGATTGTCTTTTTCCTGTTTTTCTTAAATATTTATTATTGATTTAAGGTCATTCTTTTGGCGTAATCGTTCTTCCTCTCTTCTTTGTTCATCTTCTTCTCTTCTGCGATTTTCATTCTCCGCCAGGCATGCTTGCAAGGCCTCAAACATCTAACCTAGCTTTTCCATGTTGTCGTAGTCGACACTCCCTGTTTTCACCATAAAACAGAAGAATTTCAGTCAATTATTCCACTTCCGACACCAAATTTTAAGTTTTTTCCGTGGGTTCACCAATANCCTACGATCAATTTGATAAAATCAGTGTCAAAAATAATAATACCAAATTGATTTACATCATAAGACAAAGTATAATTATAAATTATAATGTTTTGATTTATATAGTTTGGAAAAAAAAATAGTCTTAAAAACGTCACCAGATGATACATATCTGTTTTTATTTGAAAAATTTCATAAATTCCAGGTACTGCAGTGATTATTTGGCCTTTCTACATTTGTATTCATTTTTAAATTTTATATTCTGAATAATTTATAGATCTGTAGAAGCTAACAATCCTAAATTAAAAACTATTTCAAATATAAATTGTTAGTTTTCATATTTCAATTATCTTTGCATCATACAGAATATATCATTCAAAAATTTATAACAATACCTCCAGTCCGACGCCTATTATTACTTTATTTAATGCAATATGATAAACAGCTTCGGCCGCCTCTTTTGAAGTTCTTTGTCGCAAGTTGCTATTTTAATGGCTTCTCAGTGGCATCCTCAAGGGGCATAGAGGATAGAAATATCTCAGTATCTTTATAGATGAATTGCAGTGCCATTGAGACGACTATGTTGCTTTCCTTGATGTACCAGCATGTTTGCATTTTTGCAAGTCTTGCACTCTCAGACAACCGACTGTACTATAGGTGGTATTATTGATATGAATTCCATCATAAATATAAAAATACCCAATATTTAGACAAACAAACCTCGATCATTCATAATAGCAGGTAAAATTAGAAGTTCCAATGTTGTTGGAATGTATCGCAAATATGCATCCCGTCGTCCTCAGTCTACCAGTCACAATCAACTTTTTGTGAGATATTAAATTGGAAATTGTTCATTTCAACCTGTTGGTTTGAATACTAGTAAAATTCCAAATGATATTGCAAAATACGTGGGCTGTTAGAAAATTGACTTGAATATTCAAATTTCGCAGGCTACGAATATGTGATTAGACATTTTTTTTAGTTTGGTACACTCGTCCGGAACATATGTGGACAGTTTCAGCTGTTTAGCATGTTTAGTTTGTTGGTGAGAGGCGTATGAGGAATTGCATTAAATTTTGTGTAACATAAGGAAATAAGTGCTACAAAACACTTGAAATGTTGACAGTGGCAAACGGTGGTTGTACTCTGGGTCCGAAAATGTTAACATGTAGTACAGGCTTTTCATAGAAGGTCGAGAAGATGTGGATGACAACGCTCACCCTCGACGCCCCAGCACATCAACAACCGATGAAAATGTTGAGAAAGGGAAGAAAATTATTATGGAGAATCGATGAATCACTATTAGAAAAGTGACTGGGGGTGCCAGCATATCGGTTGGCCCATGCCATGCAATGGCGATCCAAATTTGCTTAAGACGGTCATAACTGGTGACGAAACATGGGTATATGGTTATGATATCGAATCCAAAGTCCGAGAGCCAAGACCAAAAAAGCACACCAAGTTCGATCAAGTGTCAAAGGTTTGCTTACTGTTTTTTCGATTGCCGTGGCGTAGTGCATCAGGAGTTCTTGCCACATGGTCGTACGATCAATAAGGAGTATTATCTTGAAGTTTTACACCGCTTGAGAGAAGCAATATGAAGAAAACGTCCTGTGTTGGGAGATAACAATTCATGCCTTTTGCATCACGATAATGCACCTGCTCACTCGACATCATACCTCAGCCACCTTATTCACCAGATTTGCCCTCCTGCTACTTTTTCCTGTTCCCATTTTGCGACAATTGGAGAGATACAAACCGAATCGCTGAGAGAGCTCATGAACATGTCAAAAAGTGCATATCAGAACTGCTTCGACAAATGGAAAAAATGCTGGCACAAGTGTATCATATCAGAGAGGGACAACTCCAAAGGGAACAAAAAAGAAATTGATATTTAAAAAAAAATAAAATTCACTCTCCCTAATTGTTTCCATAGTTGCAGATAAACTGTCAAAGTCTGGATTTCACATTTGGTTTTTTTGTATATGACATATACAGATGTTCTCCAGATGTATTGGTTTCATTTAGATTTTTCCAGTAGTATTACGTTATGACAAGCATATCTGCGTTTTTCTTTCTTCAACCAATTTTTACAGTTCCTTAATTCGTTGTTAATACATTCCTTATAACGCGTCGAACTGTTTATTTCTGTTGGAATGTAGCTGATTTCTTTATTTAATTGAGAGTGTCTGATGAATAGCCCTGAAATTGGTCTAAGCTGATTAATTTTTTCAAGATAGTCCTTCCATGACACCAATACACCCAACAGTCTATGGGTGATGTAGTATTTGTTGCAGTACCTATAACTCCAGGTAATCTGACAAATATTTTTCCGCCGGATTCGTACATTTTTTGGTAAACAATATTTGTTTTATTTTGTACCATATGAATCAAAATACAAATGACTACGGCTTTCCGCACTTGGACGAACAGGTGATTCTCTCATTACTGCATCCTCTTCAGGTTCAATCCCACTCTCAGATCGTTGAAACTACTAATCAGCATATGTTGTAATCTAACTTGAATGTACTAATGGGCACAGACTAACGAAGCACCCTCTAACGGAAGCACCAACACTATTAAGATTTATATGGACCAGACAGACCCTTCTATCAAAACTAAAATTCTCTATACACTGGTGTAGTGATTCATAACTGTAGAACTTCAATGCCAATCAGAAACTCCATATAATTTTTTCACCATTTGATTTTCCATTAGAATGTTGATAAGCTCTGAAGTGTTCAAATTTCGACGAAGGCGAAGAAAAACTGGAAAAGTAGATGACGTCATGATTCAATCCGAAACAATAGTGGTTTAATTAGGTACTTTATTTCATGAAAAATTTAAATTAATGATGAAGCCCTTGGCTTATCAATAAATAACCAATTATATGATAAATAAATTTTTTTTTGCCAAACCATTTGAAAGTGTAAATTATGATATTTGAAAGTAAAATTATTTCTTAACTATAATTAGTTTAACGGGTTAATAAGCATGCCAAATTCGA